AATATATATATATATATATAAAATGAAAGTGTGCATATTTATTTATTTTCTTATAAGATAATATAATGTACGAAAATAAAGTTATGTTATTTGAAAAATAAATAATAAATAAATAAATAAATAATATAAAGTAATGTTGAAATTGGCGTATAGTATATAGGAAGGAATAATGAGAACAAAGAAGGCGGGACTTTTTGTCTTCTTTGCGGGCCCCACCCCTTAAAAAATTTATTATTAAAAAAACATTTCTGGAAGTAGGACCCACTTCACCCCTTTTATATATATATATATATATTATTTAAATAAATAAATATGTTATCCCAACATTTTGGATGGCCATTCCTAAAGACATCTCATCTCCACCGTCCGATCTCTCTCTCTCATGATTGTGATAATAAAAATAGAATAATTAAAGACAATTTTCCCTCCAAAATGTCCTTTATTATTATTTTTTTTTTATAAAAATGCTTCATTAAGTAAATGTTAAATAAAATATATTTTAAAAAAAACAATAAGGGATTAGATTCAAAATTAGGGTTTAAATATTTAAAAAGTATAATTTTTAGCATTTATAATATTATTTTTTTTAAGGGAAAAGTATTTGTTTTGAAAATGATAATATATATATATATATATATATATATATATATATATATATATATATATATATATATATATATATATAATGAGAGAGGTGACATCAGTTCTTCAATACATTAGATATACATATTTATGGTAGGTACTATTTGTGGAATGTAATTAAGGTTGAGGACTAAAATTGAGATTCTATAAAGATAAAAAAGGTCCAAAATAAAATGGCAGTAAAAAGTTAAAAGGCCAAAATTTGGTGACCAAAATTGAACATAAATAAACATATTGGAAATGCCCTTATTTCTACTTACTTTAGAGTGTCATCATTTCTTCCACAAAATGTGTATTTCCAAATATTAATGTGTTGAAGATCTGTATTCTCACTATTGTGTGTTCTCTATTCCTTTAAGAAGTTGCCCTTTTAGTTTCTTTTATACCTCTATGTTGACAAGTTTCACTTTTCATATTGCAGTTTATTCCTGCACTGATGAGAAGGCAGCTTTGTCAGCAATTTTGAACACACCGGGAAACTTCCATGTTGCAATTCTGGAGGTATTTAATGACTTTCGGAATGGAATTATACATTTAGGCCATAAGTTGAGTCCTCTGGTATGCTTACTTGATAAATCTAGTTCTTGTGATGATTGGACCATTTTGAGAGTAGCAATATTATTGGTTTTGTTTGTCTTTTTAAACTCTTGGATCCATCTCTGGTTGCAGGTGTGTGCAAGAAATTATGATGAGAGTTTTAAGTTGCTTGGAACTTCCAGGGACTTGCCAATCATAAGTAAGCTAACAACTCAACCAAAACTGATATAGGTAGATACTTTCGATCGAGAGGTCAGAACTTTGTATCCTCTCTCACACATGTTGAACTATTAGAAAAGAACACAAAGATCTAGAACTGTTTTCTTTTCAGAATAAAAAAAGAGGGTTTGACAGCTTCTTTCAACAAGTTTTACGGTTCCTGACCTGACAATGAGATTGCGTTGTTCTGTGGCACAGTGACTTCGGATGTTCATTGCCTAAGTACCATGATGAAGTGCATTGCAGTAAGGGTTCTAGTCTAATCTCTTACTAAATGGTCTCTTTGTCTTTGGTAATTCTAGCAGCACTTTTAACCGGTTTACTCTGTTTAGATTAACAACAGCAGAAAGTCTTCCACTGGTAGCCATTTGTGTTTCTTCGCAATAACGGGTTTCAGTTTCCAGTTTTCTTGTTGGTCTGAGAAACCACTTTCTAAACAAAGCTAGTTTCTATTATTTTCATTTGATTTCTATCAGAAATTGATGCTCAGATCATAAACTATTGTTTTGCATTATTAGCTATGCATCTAGATTTACAATTTACGTCCAGCTTGGTGCAGTTGAGTTCCTATTGAAACCACTCTCGGAGGACAAACTCAGGAATATCTGGCAGCATGTCATTCACAAGGTATTTTTCAGTTCTAGAAAAAAAAAAAAAAAAAAAAAAATGTATATTGACCAACGATCTTTTGAGAAGGCATTTTCCAATACTCCAAAGCCTGATGAACACTCCGTAGCATCCTTGATGCGACTCCAATTAGAGAATAAAGACAAGAATGAAGCTCAGGGAGATATGGAAATGCTTTCTTGGATTCAGGATATTGTATGGGAACCACCAGAAGGAAGTGAGGAGTCTCAACTGAACCTGGGAGCATCTTTGCAATGTAGCTGGGAAAGCGGACATCAAATGAACTGTTCAATGGAAACAGATTGCAGGGAAAAAGATGGGCACTCTAAATTCGTCGAAACTACTACACATGATTTGGTTTGTGAAGGTCCATTTCAGGAGGGCCAACCTCGATTATCTGGCAAGGTAATGGTCAAAAAATACAAGAATTTTCTAGTTGGTTTAGGCAGAGAGTAACGTTTATCATCCCTTGCAGAATAAATCTAATGTCAAAAGTAGGTCTTCAGCTTCTGAGCATTCAATCCAAGGCTCTGATGTGAACCATTCTGCTGGATCCAAAGCGAAAAAATCAAAGGTAAATTATCGGACTAAAAAAAAATGCAAAATTTTGAGCTGACTTTTGTGTGCATATATCAAGTTCGGGCATCTAGATTATAAAATACATTCAGAGCTTGAGTTTTCAAATGAACGTGTGATTTCATTGTGTCAAGGATGGGATTTTTATGTAGAAGTGTAACCATCCAAGCCCACCACTAATAGATATTGTCCTCTTTGGGCTTTCCCTTTTGGGCTTCCCTTCAATGTTTTTAAAACGTGTCTACTAGGAGGAGATTTTCATACCCTTATAAAGAATGTTTAATTCTCCTCTCTAATCAATGTGGGATCTCACAATCCACCCCCTTTAGGGCCCAGCGTCATCGCTGGCACTTGTTCCTCTCTCCTATCGATGTGGGGGATCTCACAATCCACCCCCTTAAGGGCCCAGCGTCCTCGCTTGCACTCTTTCCTCTCTCCAATCGATGTGAGAGATCTCACAATCCACCCCTTTCGGGACCCAGCATCCTTGCTGACACTCATTCCTCTCTCCAATAGATGTGGGGATCTCACTATCCACCCCCTTTGGTTAAATAGTTGAGATCAATCAAATAGTTGTACTATGAGATCGATTGCTCGTGTATAAACACGCCCCGTCCCTCACGAACGTTAAAAGAAATAAGCTTTAACAGTGACTTCTTATTTGTGAGATTCTGAATCATACTGTTGTTGGCTAATATTGTCCGTTAGGTGGACTGGAGCCCAGAGCTACATAAAAAATTCGTTCAGGCAGTGGAACAGTTAGGCATAGATCATGCAATTCCTTCCAAAATACTTGAGCTCATGCAAGTTGAAGGTTTAACAAGGCACAATGTTGCAAGTCATCTCCAGGTGCCCACCTGACTTCAGAACTTTTCTGTTATTAAGTATAAAATAAGTTACAATTATCCTTTCTTAATTATTTATTTATTTATTTTAGCCTTTACTTTGTTTATGTAGAAGTACAGGATGCAAAAGAAACATATAATGCACAGAGAAGAAAATCCATGGTGGTCACATCCAAGATGTACAATACAAACCAATCACTTGAAACCTATCATGGCTTACCCTTCTTATCATCCTAACTGTGGAATATCACCATCTGCTGCTTTTCCAACATGGAGACAGACCAATGCCCTCGTTTGGGGTCCGCCCGGGTTTTGCCATTGGCCACGACCAGGAATTCAGCCCTGGAATTCCTATGCAGCAGGGGTAACGTTTACTGTTCTTAGAGTTCACTGTATAATAATGAGACTGTCACCACAAAAAGACCCAAATTTGAAACCTCGTACTTCACTGATTGGTTTAGGTAGAAGCTGATGCATGGGGTTGCCCTGTGACGCTGCCTTCTCATGCTCCATATTTTGCACGTCCTCAGGTAAGAGTTGATTTGATTTGATTTGATTTGATTTGATTTGATTTGATTTTACCGTGAGTTAAAACTGAGAATTTAACCTCCTTATTTGGAGTGAGGTAAGTAATTGTGGGCGTTTTCTTTTGGCCATTTTGCAGCATGTATTATCAGCTTCACACAATATGCATGCGGTAAATAAGAGCTACGGCATGCCTCAGAGTTCATTTGATCTTCAACCGGTAATTTAAACCTCCTTTTCTTTTACATTATCAGGGGGGCATTTGGTTTATGGGTTTCGATAAAGCTTTTGTGAAGGGAATTTAAGCCTATTTTTGGAGAGAGATTTAATGTTTTGCATGGAAATTTTTTTCCCCCAAACGGTTAGGAACACGACTTTCCTCCATGGTACATTGTCCACTTTGAGTATAAAGTTTCATGGCTTTACTTTTGGTTTCCCCAAAAAGTCTCATTACAAATGGAGATAGTGTTCTATACTTGCAAACTCTTAATCTTTCTCCTAATTAGCCAAAGTGGAACTTGTAACGGCTCAAGCCCACCACTAACTCTTTGGGCTTTCCCTTCCAAGACTACCCCTCAAAGTTTTAAAACGCGTTTAGTAGGGAGAGGTGTGAACCCTTATAAGTAATACTTCGTTCCCATCTCCAAACGATGTGGGATCTCACAATCCACCTCCTTTAGGGGCCCAACGTCCTCTCTAACACACCGTTTGTTGTCTAGCTCTAATATCATTTGTAACAGCCCAAGCCCACCACTATCTCTTTGGGCTTTCCCGTCAAGAGCTTCCTCTCAAAGTTTTAAAACTCGTCTAGTAGGCAAGGTGTGGACCCTTATAAAGAATATTTCGTTTCCCTCTCTTGCCTATGTGGGATCTCACAATCCACCTCCTTGGGGCCTAGCGTCCTTGCTAGCACAGTCTGGCTCTGATATCATTTGTAACGGTCTAAGCTGACCTCTAGCAGATATTGTTCCCTCTTTGGGTTTCCCTTCGAGGTTTTAAAAACATATTTACTAGCAGATTTTTTTTTTTTCTTGTTCTTTTTAATATATTATTTTTCTTTTTTTTTTTTACTTTGATTATTTATGTTTCGTATTATTTCCCTTGTGTTATAATTTTTTTTATTTTTTCCTTTTCTTTAATTATTTGTGTTTTGTTTTTATATAATTTATTTATTTTTATCTATGAATCACTTTCAAATGGTTTATAAATGGGTTGGGAGAAGAGAGGAGAAATGATAATAATTGAAATAAATGTATTTTATGTTAATAATTCTTCAAATAGATTATTATACTGATTATTTATGTGTAGAAGTTTATATAGTTTTATTAAATTTATTTATTGTAAGATAATTATTAAGATTGGTGGTTGAATAAACTCACAAACTTAAAATTTATGGCATATTATTCCTCATTTACCTTTTAATAAACAAAATTTAATTGGTTAAATTTATTTTAAAAATTCTACTTAATAAAACTAACCACTATTATCTATCTTTTACCGTTAAATGTTGAAACAAATAATAAAATATTATTTATTTACTTCAAATTCTAATAGTATTTACGAGCAACACAATACAATTATTTTCAGACATCTTATTATGATTTCTTAATACAAAAATTTAATACTATTGATTTTATATCATATTTGTATTATTAGTATAGTTTTATTATACATTTTTTTGTGCAAAATACGTAACGTATTCGTATTTAATGGAACTACGAGAAAAGGAAAATATATATTATTTGTTTTCGAGTTTTATTCTTCTTAATTTCTTAAATTTTTAGCCAAATTTCTAATAAACAAATTAAAGGACTTCCATTCCAACCCTTTATTAGAGAACGTCTTTGTAAGTGCCAACAATTATTTTAAAGGCTTTTTTTTTTATATATAATACACAGAGAAAAAAAAAATAGTTATAGAGAGAATTAAAATAACTAATTTTAGTTTATTATTAAAATTGGTAGGATGAGGAGGTGGTTGACAAGGTTGTAAATGAGGCAATGAGGAAGCCATTCTCACCGCTTCCATTGGGGCTTAAACCTGCCACAGAAAGAGTTCTCACAGAGCTTTCTATGCAAGGGATCTCCATCGTCCCTCCTCAAATCAACGGCTCCAGACCTCCCTGATCCCATTTCTATATAATATCTGTGTCGTAATTGATTTTAGCCAAGTTTGTTAAATTACCCTTAATTAACATAGTTGTAGGGATCATTTACGTAGCTATTTATTAAGAGGATATTTTGCCGTGATAATTAGTTAGAATATATCTTAGATATTTAGGAAGCTGTTAGAATAGATTTGATTAACCGTATATTTTATTTATTTACCAGATTTAATTAGATATATATTTTTCTATTTTTAGGTATTAGTTGATAGTTTGTATCCTATTTAAACGTGGTAAACCTGAATGAAGATCATACTTTCGATCCCAATTCTATTTCTATTTCTCATTCTCATACTTTCGATCCCAATTCTATTTCTATTTCTCATTCTTAACATGGTATCAGAGCGCACCGATCTTGGTGTTCTTAAATATCAAAATTTCCTTTATGGCAGAATCAGCCAAATCTAGCTTCAAAATTTCGGATGTTGATTTAACACATCCGTACTATATTCATCACTCTGATCAGCCAGGATATTCACTTGTTCCAATCCAATCATATATTCATCACTCTGATCAGCCAGGATATTCACTTGTTCCAATCAAATTAAATGGAGCAAATTATCAATCCTGTAGGAAATCAGTTATGCATGCTCTTATTGCCAAGAAGAAAATTGGCTTCATTGATGGCACAATTGAGGAACCGTCCCAAGATGCAAATTCAACCGAATTCGAACTCTGGAATCAGTGCAACAGTATGATAATATCTTGGTTAACTCATTCCGTTGAAGCAGATATCGCTAAAGGCATTATTCACGCCAAGACAGCTCATCAAGTGTGGGTTGATCTTCACGATCAATTCTCACAAAAGAATGCTCCAGCAATTTTTCAAATACAAAACTCGATAGCAACGATGTCACAAGGAACCATGGCACTGTCAACATATTTCACCAAGCTCAAAGCACTCTGGGATGAACTGGAAGCGTACCGCACACCATTTACCTGTAATCAACGTCAAATACATATTGATCAACGCGAAGAAGACAAGTTGATGCAATTGCTCATGGGGCTCAATCAGTCTTATAAAACGGTGAGATCTAACATATTGATGATGTCTCCATTACCTAATGTGAGGCAAGCCTATTCATTACTTGTACAAGAAGAGATGCAGCGTCAGGTAACTTCCGAACCTACTGAGAAAATCTCGATTGCATCAGCAGTGCAAAAGAAAACAATATATTCAAAATTCGCCAAGGACAAATTGTGTGAACACTGCAATAAAAGTGGTCATACAATTAATGAGTGTCGAATGCTTAAGTTTCACTGTAAGTTTTGTGATAGAAGGGGCCATACAGAAGATCGGTGTCGACAGAAAAATAATTCTGGAAGGACAAGACAAGACAATCAACACAATAACCGTGGATATCGATCATCTGCAAATATGGCCGATGTTTCACAGTTGAATACAGAAGAACAGTCACCTAATTCCATTCCAAATTTTTCTTCTGAGCAATTACGACAGATAGCACAAGCCTTATCTGCAATCAATCATCACCCTTCTGGTAATTCTGACAATCACATCAATGTTGCAGGTTTGTTTCCCATATCTACATTATCTATTAACTCTGCGAGTTCTAATTCATGGATTCTCGATAGTGGAGCTACGGATCATATAGTATCAAAATCTTCTGTTATGACTGAACCAAAGGCTGCCATCATGTCTACAATAAATTTGCCTAATGGAGAGACAGCACGTGTGTCACATACTGGCAATATTTCCCTTAGCCCTAACCTTAAATTAAACAACGTTTTATGTGTGCCTTCATTCAATTTAAACCTAATGTCGATCAGCAAACTTACCAATAACTTGAAATGTTACGTCACCTTCTATCCTGATTCTTGTGTTATGCAGGACTTGGCTACGGGGAAAATGATTGGCTCGGGTAAACAATTTGGAGGTCTCTATCATATTTCTTCATCTCCAATCAAGTCTTCAGCTCATCAAGTATCTCAGTCATCTGATTTGTGGCATTTACGCCTAGGTCATCCTTCCTTTTCTCGTTTTAAATTTCTAGCTGATCAATTGCATCTTAATAATGCGAGTTATTCTCATAATTGCAGTATCTGCCCGTTAGCAAAACAAACTAGGTTGTCTTTCCCAAGAAGTTCAATAACAACCCATTCTGCTTTTGATCTGATACATTGTGATGTTTGGGGACCACATAAAATTCCTACCCATTCTGGTTTGCGTTTTTTTCTCACTATTGTTGATGATTTTACTCGATGTACTTGGGTTTTTTTAATGCAACATAAGTCAGAAGTACATCATTTGTTGATGAACTTTGTTAAATTCGTTCAAACTCAATTTCATACTACTATCAAGATAGTTCGATCAGACAATGGGACTGAGTTCCTATCTTTGCAACCATTCTTTACTTCTTGTGGTATTGAATTTCAGCGCACTTGTGTCTATACTCCACAACAAAATGGAGTCGTAGAACGCAAGCATCGCCATATCCTAAATGTAGCTAGGTCTCTTCTTTTTCAGTCACAGGTTCCACTTAATTTTTGGGGAGAGTGCATTTTAACGGCTGTTTATCTTATAAATAGAACGCCATCACCATTATTATCTAACAAGACACCCTTTGAAGCACTCTACAAACGACCACCTACATTTCATCATCTTAAAGTTTTTGGTTGTAAATGTTATGCAACTATAGTACATCCTAAGCAAAAATTTGAACCTAGGGCAACTCCTTGTGTTTTCGTAGGATATCCTTGTGGTCATAAAGGTTACAAGTTGTATGACATGCAATCTCACACATTCTTTATCAGCCGTGATGTCAAATTTTGTGAAGATGATTTTCCTTTTTCATCAGCTTCACAAACTTCGACATTAGCTCCTTCGACTCCTGTTGTACCACTTCATGATCCATCCTACTCAAACATCCATCCTCCATCTTCACCTCCTATTCCTTCACCTCCTACTCCTCCTTCACCTCCTATTCCTTCACCTCCTACTCCTCCTTCACCTCCTATCCCTTCACCTACTACTCCGTCGTCTCCTCCACCTTCTCCAGATTCGCCCACTAATTCCAATCCTATCCCACCTGATACATCAGCTCCACTTCGACGTTCTACTCGTACTAAACAGCCTCCAGCTTGGCATAAGGATTATGAGATGTCTTCTGGAGCCAATCATTTAACCTCTAGCTCAAGTCCCGGCACTGGCACCAGGTATCCCCTTCATCATTACCTTTCATTCTCTCGTTTTTCTCCTACTCAACGTGCTTTTCTAGCTCTTATTACATCCCAGACAGAACCTAAAACCTATGACGAGGCAGTTGGCGACCCGTTATGGCAGCAGGCTATGAATGATGAAATTGCAGCTTTGGAACGTAATCATACATGGTCTCTCGTTCCTCTACCACTTGGTCATAAAGCTATTGGTTGTCGTTGGGTGTACAAAATTAAATACAACTCTGATGGTTCTGTTGAACGTTATAAAGCTCGACTAGTAGCAAAGGGGTACACTCAGGTTGAAGGTATTGATTACACAGAAACATTTTCCCCTACAGCGAAACTTACTACACTTCGTTGCTTACTCACTGTTGCTGCTGCTCGAAAATGGTTCACCCATCAGTTGGATGTTCAAAATGCCTTTCTCCATGGTAATCTAGACGAGGAAGTTTATATGTCTTTACCACCAGGTCTTCGCCGACAGGGGGAGAATACAGTATGTCGGCTCCATAAATCTCTTTATGGATTAAAACAGGCTTCTCGCAATTGGTTCTCCATATTTTCTACAACTATACAAAATGCAGGCTACACTCAGTCCAAAGCAGATTACTCTTTGTTTACTAAGAGTAAAGGTACTTCTTTCACTGCAGTTCTAATCTATGTTGATGATATTCTGTTGACAGGCAATGATCTCGAAGAAATTCAATATCTCAAGACTAGTTTACTCCAGAAATTTCTTATCAAAGATTTAGGAAATTTGAAATATTTTCTAGGCATTGAATTTTCTCGATCTAGAAAAGGAATTTTTATGTCTCAAAGGAAGTATGCTCTAGACATCCTTCAAGACACAGGTCTTACAGGAGCACGTCCAGACAAATTTCCTATGGAGCAAAATCTGAAACTTTCTTTAACCGAAGGAGAGAAGTTGAATGATCCAAGTAAATACAGACGGTTGATTGGCAGATTAATATATTTGACCGTCACTAGGCCTGACATAGCTTATTCAGTTCGTATGCTTAGCCAATTTATGCATGAACCAAGAAAACCACATTGGGAGGCAGCTCTTCGAGTTCTGAGGTACATTAAAGGCACTCCTGGTCAAGGACTTCTACTGCCATCTGAAAACAATTTAAGATTACAGGCATATTGCGATTCTGACTGGGGTGGTTGTCGAACTTCCAGACGATCTATTTCTGGGTTCTACATTTTCCTCGGAAATTCAATTATTTCTTGGAAGTCTAAAAAGCAGACTAATGTGTCCAGATCATCAGCAGAAGCCGAGTATCGAGCTATGGCAAATACTTGTTTAGAGTTAACTTGGTTAAGATACATTCTTCAAGACTTGAATGTACCACTGTCCGAACCAGCATTATTATATTGTGATAATCAAGCAGCATTACATATAGCAGCCAATCCAGTTTTTCATGAACGTACGAAACACATTGAAATAGATTGTCATATAGTTCGAGAAAAATTACAAGCTGGAATCATCAAACCGTGTTATGTTTCGACCAAAATGCAATTGGCAGATGTTTTTACTAAAGCTTTGGGAAGACAGCAATTTGACTTTTTGAAGGACAAGTTGGGTGTGATCGACATACACTCTCCAACTTGAGGGGGAGTATTAAGAGGATATTTTGCCGTGATAATTAGTTAGAATATATCTTAGATATTTAGGAAGCTGTTAGAATAGATTTGATTAACCGTATATTTTATTTATTTACCAGATTTAATTAGATATATATTTTTCTATTTTTAGGTATTAGTTGATAGTTTGTATCCTATTTAAACGTGGTAAACCTGAATGAAGATCATACTTTCGATCCCAATTCTATTTCTA